TATTTCTGCTGGGAAACACCCTGTTTCCTACGCATAAATGTTTCCAAGAAAGTTTTTGTTTTACGCGATAGCACCGGTCTTCAGGACTTGCCTTTTCCATTAGCTGCCTGACGTGGGAACAGCGTGACAAACGAAGACACGAGGGGAAAGGGAGGAAAACACACCGGCATGTAATAAAGTCGACTTTATGGCAGGGAGTTAAAAATGCACTTTAATGCTATGGGGGAAACATAGATCTACAGCATAGAGTGCAAGCAGCAGAATAGAGACTTGTGATAGATTAAGGCAGTCATTGATGCCTCTCGCCTCTGCTATCCATTTGTTTATGATACAACATTTTGCTGGAATTTATTTCATATGTAGGGGTATGTATACTACAGTGGGCCTGAAAACATGGGGAGATGCATGATACATTGGTTAGCACAGTGGTATCGTTAAAAAACAACACGTTAGCGTTGGTCTGATGTGTCAGCCGCACCCCTTTTTGCTGGCCGATATTTAGACTTTAGTCAGTATTTAAAGTATTTAGAGTTTTATACAGCCCATATGATGTTCTTAATGTATTATTAAGTCCAGTCCATTTTCCACAGAATAAAAACAGCACGTAATGTCAGTCCGCCAAAGAGCGCCTGCAGGCTCGGCGGCTTTCATGCCGGCGCAAGCGGCTCACGGGTCAGTCGGTTATGGGCTTCACTAATACTAGACACAAATACATTGGTAACAGAAAGTCCACATTGGTGCAGGACTAAAACACGGGGCAGTGTTTTAAAAGCAGGTTCCCTTTACAGGAGCGAATGGGAGTCAAGGAAGAAACAACCGGAATTATGGGAAGTAAACATGAAGCGTGCGGCTCGACACCGACATTTAGATTCTTCTGACCTCAGTTTTGAGAATTGATTCTAATGTTAAGAAATATATTATATATATTTTACCTAGAAATGCAAATGTTTGTATTACTGTGGGGTCCAGGACGTTAACTATTACTAGGCAGGGTGGCCCATAAGGAGTTAATACCCCCCAACCACCCCCCTTCTGCAAATTATACTGTCAGGGTTGGGCCAGCAAAGGATATCGGAATCTAGATCAGTGATATCAACCTTGGTGTTGGGCCAAATGGGATTGAAAAGAAAACCAGTGGTATCGTCCATCCCTAACATAAAACACACCTGACAGACGATTAGGGCATGAACATTCAGGTCTGGTATAAAGGGAGACCCTGGTCTGGAAAGGTTATCACGGCACAGTATGCTTATTACCATGCACTCTGGGGATGGGGAACAGCGAAATCAATAGGAATTATTATGGTAACGCAGCTCTGCCCCCAGAGAGAGACAGCCCCCGCTTCTCACATATTTTATTTGTTTTTAGCTATGGATGTATGTGTATATAATTAAAACCTGCAGATGAGGAGTGAAGAGGACCCTAATCACCACCTCCTCTATCACAAACACGGTGATAGCTGCTGAATTAACAGGACCTCCAGCATTCACAGCAGTTCCCGAACCACCGCACACACAAACCCAGGAACAAATAAGTAAACCCACAGTAAATCTTTGTTTGCTGGATAAATCTGAACTAGAACCAGAACTAGGCATATTTACTAATTTAGACATGCAAATGCCATATTCTTAATGTAAAGTTGACTCCGTATAAGAGGAATTAGTCTGACAAACTGGGGGGGAAATCACTATGGTAACTCAAAAAAAAATGTGCACAGCTTAAGGACACAGACCATGCACCCACAAACAGCTCAGCACAGAGTGAATCTAATGTAATCACAGTAGGACCACAGCTGTAAAATAGACAAGGTAACAGTCGGTGAACAGACTAACTCGAGTGAATTTAAAAATGAAGGGAAAATATTTTTTCTTAGAAGGAATATTAAATGCATGAGTGTGCTCACACAAATCCAGTGAATTCTATTTTCAGCTGAACAAACATCTGGCGTTTGGAAACCTGTAATGTGTTGGTTTTCACCTTGTATCTATTAACTGGAAAATGACACTAGGTGGGGGACCCAAGAGTTGCATTTTAATTGTCACATCCTAATACTGAGTAGAGAAAATGCAGTGATTGACACTGAGCTGTTAATATTTCATGAATTGTGGGGGAAATGAGGAACTGGCATTAATAATGAGTGGCAGCATCCCTCCCCGTAAAGTCGGTGCGAAAGGTCGCGCGCTACGCACGTTAACTGGCGTCCGAATAGCAGCGAGCTGTTCACGTGGGCGGCAGCAGGATCGCTGTCAGCCTCGCTCACGTTACTTTAAACAGTGACAGTGCAGCCTTTACACACCAGCGAGGCCGCGAGCTTCCAGCACGCAGCGTACAGGCTTGTCGCCATGGAAACAAGGCAGCGTAACAGACTTGTCTAATCGTTTTGAAGGGGTGCATTTCTCAACATTGTGGCAACTGTTCATGGGTGGGGGTGGGGGGTGGGTGGGTATGGAATACTGACAGAAAAAGAGTTCATTGCCCAGATGTCTCCCCCCAGCATGGAATAAATTCCAAAACCTTACCTGCAGTATTACACGTATAATTAGACTTCAAACATTTTTGCACAAAATACAATAAAAATTAAATCAGGCACTGAAATTAGTATTGACTGTAAACAGAAAAACACCACTTGCCATTGAACACAACATCATCTGTTCAGATGACGAGCATCTGAAATTAATCTCAACCAAAACAACCAATCGATCAATAAATAAAAAAGACAAGTTTAGGAATTTCATTTGACGATACCATCACCTTGAAGACAGAGTTCCAGCCTGCAGACCTCCACCTCTGTCTCCACATTCACTTAACAACGTACAGAATTTAAAATAAACGTTTACATCCTATTGACTGCCTGTTATTTTTGAAAACAAAAGATGAATCAGGCAAGCCGCTTGTCCCTGGAGTACTTCTGAAATATTTATCGGCCGAATATTAGGCCGCACCTATATGTGCTGCAACTTTATGAATACGGAATGAGCACGGCAGAGAAAGACCTGAAGTATTCCATCCCAACACGTCTAAACGTACATTTATCGAACCATTTCTGATCCCTGTTGTCCTCGTCTGTTTGTCAGACGGCTAATATCAGCTGACACATGATGCACGTTGCATGTTGCCTGCCATGAGAAACGCTGCACCTCGCTTTCCAGCAGGGTCTTTCGTTAACGGAATTTATTTCGTATAACTACCTCTTGTACACAGGCTCTTCAGATCATTAGAGGAGCGCATATACAGCGACGCCCCTGCTGAGGGAAATAACGGAGACCAAGAAGGAGAGACGGGACTCTCGTTGGGAATGGATGTCCAGGTGTCACATGCAGAGTCTCCTCCTGGCCAAGGGGTCCAGTGCCAAATAAATCCTGGCACAAACCAAGACATGACAGCCAAATAAGCAGGTTGTATCTGGATCTGTCAGTCTAAAGTCCAGCTCACAGAGCTGAGGATAAACCGAGAGCCAACAGTCGTCACCAGACAGGCGCTAACCAAACCACTCAGACCTCAGCAGATCATCTGCGGTCCATCAAATACCATCAGCAGGGGAGACACGTCAACCCGCAGCACGAGGAGAGCGGCAGGGGACTGTTCCAGTGTCGTCCTGGATAAGTGTGTTCGCAGCATCCAGCCACGGCCGCCAGAGGGGAAGGCAGCAGGTCAAGAGCCGCACGATGAGAGAACACTGGCAAGCTCCAGAGGATCGGGTCACAGGGCCGATCTGTAGTGGTGCTAGAAGGTTTGTGAACCTGTTAGAATCTTCCCAGTTTCTGCATAATTATGACCAAAACCGTGGTCATATTTTCATGAGACTCCTAAAACTAGATAAAGAGTCCAAATTAAACAAGTAACACCAGAACATTATATTTTTATTTACTGAGGAATATTATCAAATGTTACATATTTGGGCGTGACGAAGTATCGGGTGAGACCCAAAGGTGTAGCAATAATTCCAACTAAATGTTTCTGCTGACTGTTGGAGGAATTTCAGCCCATTTCTCCTCACAGAACAGCTTCAACTCACAGATGCCGTGGGCTTCACAAACTTTCCAGCACAACAGTAACCATCATACATAAAATGCCTGTTTTGTTTGTTTTCCGGATTAAATTTTTATTAAATTGCTTGCAAGTTGTTGCTGTCAGGCTTAAGTGTTCTTTACATCGCAACAGGGTCCAAAAATAAAACAATGGCAACTAACGTCACAACTTGAAGAGGACGACATTAGACACTATCAAAGGCTATCAAACGAATTGCTTGAAATGTCAACCACATCATGTAGTTTTATGAGGCCGATTTTGAGTAACATCAACACCATAAACTATAAAGATACGTAAAACACAAGACTAAAGAAATACTCAAGAGAAGAAAGTGGTTTGAAGGTGCACAGAATGATCATAGTTATAAAGCACATAAAATGACCACAGTCAGAAGTTACACAGAATGTCCAGCAGGCCTATTTGACCCTGAATTAGGATTTAGTGATCAGTGGTCATTGTTGACACATCACAGGACACAACAACAAAATGTGTCCTCTGCATTTAACCCATATGTGACATCGTGACATACAGTAGCAGGGGGCAGCTAATTCAGCGCCCGGGGAGCAGGGCTTGGGGGCGGAACCTTGCTCAGGGTACCTCAGTGGTACCTTGCTGGTCAGAGATTTGAATCTTTCAATTACAAGTGCGCTTCCCTAACCATTAGGGCACCACTACCCACAGGAGCTAAACCCTGGTTAAAGGTACAGTTGTCCTGGTTAAACACAAAAATTGTGATGATGACCAGTGACCTCAACTGCTAAAACCATGTTTAGCGATAAATTAGAACAGTACAGAAAGCAATGCTCGGCCTGACGATGGGATGGCGACTAGCTGAACTGCGGATGCAATGTACCCGGTCTGCATTGGTCCAACCACGTCTTAGCGAGAAAGGACATGGCAGTGTAAAAAGACAAGTGACTGGCGGTACAGTGTCGCCTAGGAAACCGAGCACTCACTGCGTTCATGCTTACCTTCTTGGTGAAGTCCATGGCTTTGAGGATGGACAGGTTCAGTGTCTCCAGCGAGGCCAGCACACCCTCATAGTCACCCATGTGCTTCACAAAGTAGTCTGGGGGTACAATGTCAGTTTTCACACACTCTTAAAAGGCACGCAACCACGCGCAAGCACGCACACGCACACGCACACGCACACGCACACACACACACACACACACACACACACACCTGTACTCATATCTTTGTGGGGATCGTCCATTCATTTCTATGGGATAAACCATAATTCCAGCTATGATGACCTTAACCCCCACCCAGCCCTAACCTTAACCATAAGTAACCAAAGAAAATACAAGACTTTTGGCACTTTTAGTTTTTTTTATTGCACTCACAGATTTTTATAAAATTTAGTTTCCCCCTGTGGGGACTCAAAAGATGGTTCCCACAATGTCAAAATAGCAGGTTTTTATCACATAACCTACACAAACACTCAAACACACACACACACACACAAACTCTCACCTACATTTAGACAGAGATCAGGTTCACTGGAACAAGAGGCAATGTGCTCTTTACAGTGCACTTTAATAACAATCAATACAACTAAACACAATCTTTTTACTGCTGTATACTGAATTTTATATGTAAATTCCTACTGATACTCTTGCCTAAAGTAACATGCAATTTTGACCCTTCTGACCATTGGATATCTTACTGGGGAAATTATGACTGAACCATCACCATTCAGATTACTCATTCGGTACTAACTCTTATCACCATGAACCCAAATGCTCCTATTACTAAAAGTGTTGTCATATAACTGCCATCTGGTGATCGGAACATCCCGCCTTCTGTCTGGACTCCCAGGCTTCTCATTGGCGCAGGATCTACTGCCCATATTATATTCCAGTTCTCACTGGTTACGTTAATGATTCCTTACCAGTGCTACACGCAGTCATTCTGCCTGACATGACCCAGACACATAATGGGTCATTGGCTTTAAAACGGAAAATGGAGAGTAACGAAAGGTCCAAAGCAAGGGCATAACTTTGGGTTGAGCATTGGGGAGGTTGAGATCTCCACCATTTTAAGGGGGTCCAGGCTGGTTTCGACTATTGCGGGGGCTACCAACCCCCCCCCCCCCCCCCCCACACACACACACAGACCTGGTCCAACGGGTTCCTTAGCAGTCATGAAAAGCATGCTAAGCAGGCAGACAGGCACAGAGACGAACCAGCGATCATCAGGTACTCACCACAGAGTTCCTTAGTGTCAACATTACTGAAAGACCACGGGGAAGGAAGCAGCAGACAGGCATGGAGAAGGAGAAAACGAGAAAGGAAGAGCAGGAAAAAAGGTGAGGCGAGGGACAAGCTAGCAGACAGAAGGGAGTTAATCAGGGCGGGGGGGCTGGGAGGTGTCCGGGAGAAGGGGCCGCCACAGCTCGCCTGCTGAACTGGCGGTACACAAAAGAGGAAACGTTCTCCATTTCCCCCACCCCCCCATGAACATTTTCCTCAGGAGCTGCCTGACCGTTGTTGTTGGTACATATCCTAATCATTCTGACCAGCAGAGGGAATATAACTAATGGAAAATTGGACTGAGGATTATAGACTAAAGTTGTGAATGGAACTGCAGCCATCTTGGTGACCCCAGTGCATTCTGGGTGATCTCTTACAACACCCTTTCCTGATGCTCCTAGACTTTACATATTTACATATTAATGACTCCTTCATTACTCATACAAGCAATAATTGGTATATAATTAGTCCAGTCAGTAATCTCCATCCCAGTATTAGTAAACTAAACACATGCAAACCTCCCAAGTGTTTATGATTTTTTTTTAAATGTAGTTACAGTGCTTTTAAGTAGGCAGACAGCATTTATCACTTACCCAACAATAAAGTACATTTCATTATACAGCACATGCAAGATAGGAAATCATCCAAATAGACAAAGACTATCACAAGCGTTTTAGTGCACAATAAAGTATTAAATATGTAGTTCCTAAAATGAGTTTCACTTCAGGCCCAATGAATAATTAAATTATTGGCTCTGCAAAGCCTAACCCAGAGTCTCAAAAAAATTCTGCACATGTACTGGACACCTCATGGTCTGACTGCAGTAGATGCTGCTCTTCAGAGGTAAATGTTCTCACATCATCGTTATTTAATTGGCCAGTATGGCTGCATATGGAAGCCTGGCATTCGGCCCCTCAGCCATCTCCAAGGTGTCATGCCAGTGTTAGCATTTCATCAGCGAGCTGTGGGGACCCAGCAGGCGGGGGCTCCGCTCATCCCCAGGCCCCCCCATCACGCCTCAATCAAACTGCTCCTGCACAGACTGCAGCAGCTTTAATTCCTTTATAAATTTCACAAAACACACCAAACATTACTAAGGGGGCTTGGACTGTGGTCCAGTCAATACATTACCTTCAACATCGCTGGTACCAGCAGGACTGTGTACCGCAAGTGTTTTATAAGTGCAGAGAGAGAGAGAGAGAGAGAGAGAGAGAGAGAGGTGGGTGGAGAGGGGGGGAAGACAGAGAGAGAGGTGGGGAATATAGAGAGAGAGAAAGGGGAAAGAGAGAAAGAGATCGAGAGAGGGAGAGAGGTGGGGGGAGGGGGGAAGATAGAGAAGAGGGAAGACAGAGAGAGAGAAGTGGGGGATAGAGAGAGAGAAAGGGGGGATAGAGAGAGAAAGGGAGAAGATAGAGATAGAGAGAGGTGGGATAGAGAAAGAGAAAGGGGGAATATAGAGGGAGAAGAGGGAAGATAGAGAGAAAGGAGGGGAAGAGAGAGAGGAGGGGGAAGATAGAGAGAGAAAGAGAGGTGGGAGGATAGAGTGTGAGAAAGGGGGAAGAGAGAGAGAGAGGAGGAGGGAAGAGAGAGAGAGAGAGAGAGAGAGAGAATGAGAGAGCAGACTCGGGTTGAGAGGGACTTGCGCCGCAGGGATGCTAACACACCAAGCTGGCTGTGTTTTGGGCAGTCAATAAACCACATTACCACTAAAACGCAGCGACTCGAAGTGGAAATTAAAGCTTTCAAAAGCCAAAGCAATTAACTCCAAAGGCAATAAAGAAAACATTGTACAAGGTATGCCGAAAGAGTGGCGCTTTGATAATCCATCCATCACGTCGACATGATGTTAAATTACTGAATAATATATAAGCAGGTGTAATAAAACAATCCCAAACTGAAAAAAAAATAAAAAAAGGACATTATGCTCTTTTTAAGCAAATAATTTTTCATTCCTGAAACTGCAGCATACATCTGCTATACTGTAAAAACCTCTTGCCAACACTTATCTATAAAAACACTGCAGATTAATATGTAGTAATTCTTGGTTTGCAAGAAAAGAAGTTTTTCAGCCAGATGACAAATTGTTAACTTACATTTGATGGGCACTGTGTGGTCAGCCAGAAATAAATATGTTTATGCAACGTTAATCAACAAATGTTGAGCCATAGGCTTGATTTCGGTGAACAGCCAATGGGGGAAGGGAGATATTGACATGAATGATGATACTGACAGATCACAATGACTTAAAAGCTTGCAGTTAGTCTGCTAATATCTGGCAGCTGATACAGGTTCAGCCTCAACATCCAGATGCAAAGATCCAGCATCTACTATCCTCAGACATCAAAACTGTCTTCCTATAGGTCTCCTCATTCACTGCGGCATGACTTTTCACATCCACACCAGACTCACTTCACATCTCCGTCACACTTTCTGTTCACTCCACCACAAAGTTATGGAAGGTGACAGAATCACTGCATGCATTTATAAGTAAAGCTTGCAAGTTCAATGCACACAATAAATATCTGACGTCCTTACTTGGCGGGTGACCAAGTCCATAGTCATTGGAGACAAATTCTCACAAATATCTCTGCTATTTCACTAGGACAGGTGAGGATGAGTAGCAAATTTCCTACTCTTATTCCTAACCCTTGCTTAGTCAGGGGGATCCGCTACATGAATGTCTCAATAATGTTACATCAGCAGAAGCTTTCCAGAACATCTAAGTGACTAGCTGACACACACTAAGTCATGCCTGGCCTCCTGGTCCCACTCCTCAGCCCGGTCTAGACGCTGACAGCAGGACTTGTCATTTAAATCTGCACTGGTTGGGTGACTTAGTGTTTCTCTGCTGCCTGAGCAGCATGTGCAGCTCGCATGTAATCCCAGTGTCATGAGAGTCTCAAAATCAGGGGTGCAGTAGGAGCATGGATACGCTACCAGAATCAGGGGGCCAGCGCTTGACACGGGCCCTGGGATACATAAAATAATACAATTAAATGATTTATGTTTTATCTACTTAAACCTAGAAACAATAAACATGCATTATCATGAATATCAAACGACTGATTAAGCCATGAACACAACCATGCATGAATGTTCACAAATGTAACGTACAGCTCTCCCACTAATGAATGGATTGAATCAAATACACCAAATCAGTCAACTGAAAAACTGAATGTGAAACCATGAGTGGGGGGAACTTTATACAAGGTGAGGTCGCACAATGGAGGTGGGGGCTCAAGGTGACGTTTTGTCGGGGACCCCAGAATTTCTAACTACACCTCTGCTCAAAATGTCCCAGGTGTTCCCCACCATAAACTGGCATCCCATCCAAGGGAATTCCCTGCTGTACTGAATCAGCAGGCAGAAGATGCTGAGATCAATCTCTACTACTGAGTTCTGGTCTCCAACTGATGAGCCAGGTGCCCAGATTCCCACTGCAGGAGGCACAGATAGTGATGATGAGGAGGAGAGGAAGAGAAATTAGTGGGGAATAAACCTAAAGAGAAGAGGAGAACCATCCACAGAGCCTGCAGTGCAGGGAAGGGAACATCTTTCCTTCACCATTGTTATGAAGCAGCTCTGAAGCTTACAGGGCAAACAGGAGGCCTGGTTCCACCTGACTCTGAAACTAGCGCCGAAAGACATGCCTTCAGCCGTTCTGGACTACAGCTGCCCACCCTTCATTACCGTAACTCACTCACTACAATGTGAAAAGGAAGCAAAGACGACAGCAGGATGGGGAAGGAACCGTACAAGTGAAAAGTTCACCCAAGTCGGGCAGAAAACAGGAAACTTGTGTTTGGCTTCTAAAATATCCTAATGCAGGCATTCGTTGCAAACCTGTAGTACAGAATGTAACTCTGTAGACCAATAAAATACTGTTTTTAATAGTAAGGACCTTTAATGCTGGTTTTTATTACAACTTTTCTACCAGGTCAAATTAAACATTAACGAATGTTACCCATTTCTTTAGGGAGAAGATGTTTTATATACAGAAGGTGATATTTATTCATTTTGGGGAAAAATGCACAACAGCCATGCTTCATTCAAGATCAGTGATTAGGTCAAGACTTATAAGTATAACGAATGAAACATTTATACATTTGTATCATAAATGTATTTACAAGGACAATTGGAAAACATGCATATATAAATATATACATTTCTGACCTGGGCTGTGTGTCTATGTCCTGCCACAAGCTCTTCATTCTAAAACCGCAATCTTTAAGGTCTTCAAAAATGAAGAGATTTGAAACACCACGTCCCCTCAAAGGGAAAACTTCTCCTATCTCTCCGTTTTGGACAGAAGAGACACTGACCAAAAGCAATGAGGCAGCGTATGGATCAGCTGGTTAGTCCACTGCGCCTGTCGTGAGAAGATCACTGGTCCAAATCCCATGGCAGGCGACGTGGATTTATGGAGATGTGAGCAAGGCCCCTAACCCTGTTCCTTAGACTGGCTGACTCTGCTTCTTCTATTTTACTGTATATCACTTTGGATATCGCTTTCGATGAAAATGCGGGCTAAGCAGTAGTATGTATGGGAATGAAGGAGGTGGCTTTAAATGGAGGAGATGCCCAGCGGTAAGACCACAGAGGCCAATACCCCTATTACATGCCCTCCACCTCAGGAACCAGGAGCCAAGGAACCAGGAGCCAAGGAACCAGGAGCCAAGGAACCAGGAGCCAAGGAACCAGGAGCCAAGGAACCAGGCACTGCTGCCAAACTGGAAGATGCTAACGTGCACTGGACAGATTACAAGATAGCAACAAGCTACAAGTTGCTCTTTCCCTATTTTATGTTTATTGCACTGGCAACTGCAGCATCAGAATTTCATTATGTTCCTCTGACTTAAAACAGGCAGCCAGGCCAAAAAACTTAATTACCCAGAACCTCCAAAAGATTCACATAATCCCCACCACAGCCGGCCCACCAGTGGTCTGAGTGGGAACTGATCTCCCCACCCACACGTCAACCTGATCAAAAGCATCATCATCCCAGCCAAATGGTACAATAAAGGAGAGGAGAGGCGTGGGATTCCTATATCAGCTAACGCACTTGCTGAAGCAATCAGGAGAAGTTTGTAATACGCAGGATGAGGCTGTGGTCTCATTTGGTCAAAAGGAATACATGATAATTACTGTTGTCAGGGAGGTAAATGAAGAATCTCTGGATCATATATAGATTGGGCTCTTCATAGCTGCATGTCAATGCTTAGTTAGTGAGCTACGTCTAACTGACTGACTCACATTCCAGTTCCTCTCATTAAGGTACTGTAGCACTTCACATCTATATGTTCAGACCTGCAGGCTGATGTATAACAACTGTCCATTTGCTTAATTTCAGTCAAACTGATACTTATTCATTCATTCATCGAGCAGCCTCATCATTATCAAGATTATGGGCCACTACAGTCTTCAAACAGCAACTATAGTATGAGCTGTTTTGAATTTACATCAAACACCAACACAGCTAGGTGGATCCGGGATAGGAGCAGCATGAGGAGGTCTGAGGCATGCCGGGGGCGGGCGGGGGGGGGTCCGTTTAGCTTTGCAGTGCCCCTCTTCCTTTTGCTATGCAGGGTTATCGTTACCTATTGGGTTTATCACATTCACACTGCTCTGTTTTACTGTAAAGTCTGCTGAGGTCCCTCCACAAAAGCCCCATGTTAGAAGAAGTGACTATTTAAAAGATGTGCCCAGTTACTGAGGCTTCAAAGGGGAAACTTGGGGGGGGGGGATGGGGGTGGGGGAGGAGGCCACGCCTTACCTGGTGTTGTCCGAATCAATCGTGTGAAACAACTTCTCCAGCTCCTCCTCGTTCAGATTGCCATCCGAGAAGAAGGCCTGGAATTCGTCCAGGGAGAGCTTCCCGTCATCTGTGTGGACAGCAGATGCTGTGGCATCAGTGTCACCATAACAACCGCCAGGATCATTAACAGATCAAGCCCATCCAAATATTCTGGTGTGATCACAGTGATCCTGTGCCTTATCCACAGACAGCCTGCATCAGACGTCTGTCCAAAGCAGCGAACGCACCTGACATATCTGTATAAGATGTGCCGACACAGACTAACCATCACTCTTCCTTTTGCCCATTTTTATATAAAACGGGCATTTTTCCTAAGGCACCTTCAAAGAGTATGCAAGAGAGTATACAAGAGAGTATACAAGAGAGTATACAAGAGAGTATACAAGCCCAATGCCCTGCCCCCTCACCCCCAGGACCTGAACTATCACTTTTGTTACAAGTGGACTTTCTGCACATTCTCACTGCGGGCACATTTCTGCTCTTTGGTCCTGACAACATGGGTATTCCATTATATTTTACAGGTCATGGGGACCACACACAGCAACCACACACTGACGGTGGAATTTTATAGGAGGATCCAGGTCTCCAGAGCATCTCAGCTTCTGCCTTCCAGGTCCACAAAGTAAAATATTCATTACCGTACGTCCACCTTTCGAACAGCGTTTTAGCCATCGGATAGTCACTTACAAAGGAAAAAAGACTCCACACTGCCTATACATAAATGCAGAGATCGCTGAGCGCTGGCACTGTTAATGGATTGATTAAACAGCATTTGAAATCCATTCCTGTGAGCAGAGACAACCACCTGTATCAATTCCTGGAGACCACATGGGGTGGTTTGATATTCACAGTCATTATGAGCATCGATAATCTGGCATCTATAGCTTTGCTCTAGAGAAATGATCATGGATACAGTTGGTGCCCTTGCTGGCCTCAGCCTGTGAATCTCAGTGCATCGATTGGTCAGAAACAGCAATGAGATGGACAGGAGAGCATCTGTTAGCTGAAAGGATACTGATTTTCAGTCCACCACTGTCTGACTCCATCAGCTAGGGGTTGGAGGGGGGAGTGGAGAAATGGGCCAAGCAGTTCATTAAAGACTGACCCAGTTTACAGCTGTAGAAAGCACTAGAGGTTTTGGTTTTATTTTTTGAGGGGGTGGGAAAGAAGATGAGGAACATACTAGTAAAAGCAGATATTCCTGTTCTTTCTGGTCCATGACGTCCCATCAACGTCGCTTTTCCAAACGGTAACCATGGCGGCCAGAGCTCTCTCGTTTTATGAACTGAGAACTCCATTCTGATTGGCTGGAAGGCGTTCAAAGCCACTGATTCAATCCATGACATGTCTTTTGCTTTAAGTAGTAGTCTTATTAGGTTCTTGCTTTGTTTGGAGGATGTTCTGTAGCTCTTGTCCCAGTACTGCTTACACTGTTACCAGGGCATTTCCTTGGAAGCTCAGCTGACCTGCCTAGTTGACTCCTTATGAGCAGATCAGGTGTGGTTCAACGGAGACCAGGTAGGGTGGACAACTTGCAGGATGCTGGTGCGCTATGATCAGGGCTGCCTACCGCTGCTCTATACGGTTTATAGCTGACATTTTACTAAAGGCACTGAGGTTATATACCTGGCTAGAAGGTACAACAGAAAGACTAGGGTCTCCAGAGAGAGCCTACATGAGCCAGAGTGGGAAAGAGGCCCACAGTGAGGTTATGGTGTCACCCACTGAGAGTCTGCTGCACCCCCAGGATGGACGATGTGTTAGTGGGGCTGCGCACTTAAGACGTCGTTAGCGAGACCATGATTTTCAATTCGATTTTCTCAAGTTCCACAAGCAAAGCAAAAGCTTCTCGAGGGATCACATACGGATCTATTTCAGTTCCTCTCAGTTAAAATTAGAGTGTATGCTCTAGTGAAGTGTTATTCAAAAGGTTGAAAGTTTTAGTAAGATATGAATAATAGTAATCGGAACAGACAGAGTTGGAGAACCTGGACAACTTGGAGCGGTTCTGGTACAGATGATCAATGGAATGCAATTAGCACTAGTCCTCATATTGGAACTGAACAAAAATGTTCCCTTTTTTTTTTTATTTATTCTGGGTGCTTGTTGTCATGGAAACTAGAATGGTTCCATGGTTCCTTCATTACTCTTACTCCGCGCTCTTAACTGCTCGAACCCTTTGTTTTCTCACACTTCCCGCTTTCATCATTCCGACCCGAACTGCATTCTTAAAGAGAGAAATCTTTCATTTTCAAAATCCCCCTTCTCTTGGCGACCTGTTTCCCATTTATCTCGCCGGCCCAATGGACACATTTCTCTGCTTACGCGCTCGTGTGGAAATGTACTTAAAATACACCTGAGAAATACACAGAGGGAAATGTCCCTGCAGGTATGGGAGGGGGTGGAGTGCCACCAAAACAGAGGTGGGGTTTCTTCATGTGGCTAAGCAGCCAATGAGCCCTGTCCACACAGAGATGATGTTTGTATACAACTGGTTTACAGCTGGTCCTGGTTTAATCCTGGTCCTGCTGGCAGAGGCTACTCTGAGCATCAGGTTGCTTCCAAGTTCAAAACTTCTGAGACAGCAGCACTCAAGGATAATATGAAGCAAGAGATACTGGGAACGACCAGAAACCAGCAAGGTAAAGGGCAGAAGCGACTTTCTAATGCCAGAGATGACCGTTAACTTATCTGACAGTTCCTCATGAATCGTAGGATGACGTCACGTGACCTTCACAAGGAATGGGAAACATTAAGTGCAGGTGTGAAGTGCACTGCTAGGACAGGTCTTATCAGGCTCCTAGAAGCAGGACTGAAGTCCCATAAAGCAAGGAAGAAGCCCTTCATTAATGAGAAACGGAGAAGAGAC